GGGCGCACTGCCATCTGTTACTCGCTGAGGGGTACGTAAATGGTGTGGCAGATGAAGCCGTTGAGGGTTCAGCAAAGGGTTCGATATGTTCTAATACAGTAAATTATTATGACCACGTCAAGCAAGACTTGGGCTTACTGGAGCTAGAAAGCGTTTCCTTCGCATGTAACTACTGCGTCCGACCGATCGGACTGGTCTGCTGGACGGAGAACGAGCAGCTGGAGAGCGACTGACAATGGGGAAGTCCAGATGAGGAGGGGATACCAAAGTTGTTGCCTCATCGGAGACTATCTGGTTACCTTCGTATCGATGTGCTCGGCCTTGTATTCTGTCGAGACCGATCTACAGTTACTCGATCTTCACGTGGTGCTGTCTAACAGAAGTCACATGGAAAAGGAGCTACACTGTGATAGGCCCTGTACTCACCTTAGCCCTAGAGATGTTGAAGTCGAAACCGTCACCAGGCTGCAAAGACTTAAACGATGACCGATATTCCTTCATCTGCATGTTTAGGATTCGAAAGATAAGCTAACGCGAGATCCAGTAACGCGACTCATGTTCCATAAGCATTATTCACCTAGGCCAATACCAATCTATACAGCAAGATACGCATGAGAGAATGCCATCAACAGGCCATCTACGCCAGGGGACCGAATCACATACATGGGATGTCTGGACGATAACGGTGAGCGTGGCGGGATTGATATTCTATCACTGGCTATATGCAGTGATATTCACTGAGAAAATCTCATCGATACTCCTCATGTCAGCATCAATGGCAGGATTGATGGGTCAATTCGCTTCGGTTCCTTCGATCTTTGCGGGCATCTTCGAAGTTGCGTTGGAGGCGTGCGCGTTTAACTCTTTCATCGCGCGCGCCTCAGCGCAGTCTTTCTACGAGAGTTCCTAATCAGCGTTACTGGTCCGGATGCAACACGATCCCCTCTATCGTTCCCGCCATTAGCATGGTCATCGCACTTGTATTCACTTGATGCGCTCAGTTCCCGTAATTACCTCGTGACTAGACGATGGACACAGCACGGCCCTTGGAGCCAACCCGTCTTAGAATACGACGCCTTACCTCGATGGACTTACCCGTCATACAATCACTATATCAGTAGTTGTTGCGTGAGGCACGATAAGATAGCATGCAGCTCTTTTTAGTGGTGGAGCAGCCGGCCAATCTATCACAGAGGCGTTCTATGCTTGTCAAGGGGAGGATCTTGCAGAATTGGCAGAAAACTCGTGAGACTACTCTGGGATAGACACAATAGACCAATCAACCCTTGACCTGAGGAGATAGCTGCAATGCATGTCAGCTCCATCGCTATCGTTGCGGAATACGAGAACCTCTCTATTGCGGGTCTTGCACTACTCGACAACTATCCCACAGTCTTGGAAGGTAAAGGTATTGAGGACGATCGTGTTAGGGTTGACTGATGGGGTTCGAAGGATTAACTGTTAGTAAAGCACTCCTTTTCAGGAAGAACTGAAGTAGCCAACGACGACCGAGGTCTCACTAGGCAAAAGTGGGAACTGCGGATAAGAGAACTATCATAGTAACTTCCCCCTCCTCTTAGATCCTCAAATGCAAGTGAAAATGAAAATACTCGAGGAAACTTAGTGTAACTCCATAACCACGCGCCCATCATTCTTGAAGAGACACAGTAGCTCCCTTTCAGCTACCATCAGTGGGGACCGCTAAGCAAAGCCCAAAGGATATACCAATACAACTCTCTCTGGTTCAAGTGAGATCATTTGCCATCAACGCTGCAGGAAAGAAGCGACGAGTTGAGGTACTTCGTCGCACAAAGCGGGGACGAACCACGAATACTAGGGGAAGTCTGTCAATGGGTCCTGGCTGCATTCCCAGAGGTCAACCATCTACTACTGTAGGATGTCTCCAAGGCCACATAGCATTTGACCGGACTCCTTTAGCACGTTGGGAAGGAGCTAGCCATCGAAGCCCACACGTTCTGCTTGCGACCTTATTTGAAGCTCTTCACAGAGATACCAGTGGGAAGCACCCAGACCAGCATAGGTCGATTCACACCCACCGATCAG